CCTGGGTTACAGCTGCCTCAGTACTGGAGGAAAGGTAACCTTAGAGGTTGCAAGTTGTTTGCACCTCTGACTGGGTGTCACGTAGTTGGTTTGACACAAACACCCTGGGGCAGAGGAGGGAGGAGATTGTGGCGAGCAACATCCACTTCTTGATGTCATCAAAAGCAAGGCCCAGAAGTCGGGAGACCAGCTGGGGTTTGCACCATCTGCCTGAGAGTCAAAAGAATACTTAGAGAAAGTATGCATAGAACTATATTTAGAGTAGAGTGCACACTTGAATTTCCCGTTCAAGGAGAAAGGAGAATTTTCATAAGCATGCAGTGTGGAAAAAGTTAGGCTCAGAGCAGAATCAGCTCAATTTTAGAAGAAAAAACGGGAGTAAACCTCCCGGCTAGGCAGACGAAGCTGTCATCTTTCAAGGTACCAGCAAGGTACCCTTGCTTCCCTTCCTCTCTCTCTCTGCCTGCCTCTCTGCCTACTTGTGATCTCTCTCCATCATATAAATAAATTCAATTCCAAAAATTGCCTAAAGATACATTCTTTTTTTTTTTTTTAAGATTTTATTTATTTATTTGAAAGAGAGTGAGCGAGAGAGAGCCTGAGCAGGGGGAGGGGCATGGAGAATGGGAGAAGCAGACTCCCTGCTTCTGAATCCTACAACAATGAGATCTGTTTCTGGGCCAGGAGCCCAGAACTGATCCCAGGGGCTCTGATCCCAGGACTCTAGGATCATGGCCAGAGCCAAAGGTGAGCCGAAGTATATGCTTACCAACTAAGCCACTGAGGCACTCCTGCCTAAAGATACTTTGACCAAATCCTTTAATTCCAAGATTAAAGATGCACTGTTTTGATTCAAGTAATTATTTTTCATCAAAATATAAATTCCTCACTGAAGAGGGTTGTCACTGTTGTTCACCAGAAAATGGATAATATTAACACCTAAAAGAGTAAAAGGTTTTCAAATTCTTTCATGCGAGGAACAAGGAATGAAAACTAGAACATCAGAAATGGGGTAAAGGTAAAAAGCAGTGGGCAAGGGGTGCCTGGGTGGCTCAGTGGGTTAGGCCTCTGCCTTCGGCTCAGGTCGTGATCTCAGGGTCCTGGGATCGAGCCCCACGTCCGGCTCTCTGCTCAGCAGGGAGCTTGCTTCCCTTCCTCTCTCTCTCTGCCTGCCTCTCTGCCTACTTGTGATCTCTCTCCATCATATAAATAAATGAAATCTTGAAAAAAAAAAAAAAACAGTGGGCAAGAATACAGAGGGAAAGGGGGCACCTGGGTGGCTTCGTTGGCTAAGTATCTGCCTTCTGTTCAGGTCATGATCCAGGGTCCTGAGATTGAGCCCCCTGTGGGGCTCCCCGCTTAGCAGGGTGTCTGCTTTTCCCTCTGACCCTCGCATGTTCACACGTACTCTCTCGCGCTCTCTCTTAAACAAATAAATCTTTTTAAAAAAGAGATAAAGGAGGCGCCTGGGTAGCTCAATGGGTTAAGCCTCTGCCTTCAGCTCAGATCATGATCTCAGGGTCCTGGGATTGAGCTCTGCATCGGGCTCTCTGCTCAGCGGGGAGCCTACTTCTCCCCCTCTCTCTCTGCCAGCCTCTCTGCCTACTTGTGATCTCTCTCTCTCTGTCGAATAAATAAATAAATAAAAATCTTTAAAAAAATAAAAAGATGGAAAGAACAGGGGTGGGGCTCCTGGGTGGCTCAGTCCGTTGAGTGACTCACTCTTGGTTTCCACATAGGTCGTGAGATGTACGCTGTCCCTTCACCCCAGCCTACACCCCCATTGGGCCGCAGGCCCACCAGGGAGTTAGCTTGGGATTCTCTCCCTCTGCGCTTCCCTCCACTGCCTCGCCACCCTCTTTCTAAAATAAATAAAGCTGAAAAACAAAAACAAAAAAACCAGGACCAAATCAACCTCTTGAAACTGATCTGGAACTGTTCGCATGGGAAAGTTGTGGTGGAAAATAAGAATTTAGAAGCATAAGGAAAGAATGGGAAGCAAATTAGAAATGTTGGTTTACATATCAAGAATAAAAGAGGTAGAGAACCTAACAACGAGAAATGGGAAAACACTGGAAAATGATCAAGTAGAAGAGAAGTGACGGTAAATCATGAAGCTTTACCTAGCTAGACTGTTGGGTCCAAAGGGGGTAAAAAAGGAAAATAATTTTCTGATGAATTGAGGAATTTCCGGGAGGAGAGTAAATGTGGTGCGTTGGAGAACTGATGGCAAAATTGTGCAGTGAGGAAGGTTACAATAGAGAATAGTGGGATAGAGCAATGCTGGTGCTCCTTTTGCAAAGTGGGATAAAAGCATAAATTGGTGCGGGGGTGGGGGGTGGGGGGGAGGAAGCACCTGGGTGGTGCAGTTGGTTAAGACTCCTACTCTGTTTTTGGCCCCAGTCATGATATTTGGGTTTTGAGATGGAGCCCTGAGTGGGGATCTTCACTCAGCGCACAGTCAGCTTGCGATTCTCTCTCCCTCTGCTCCTCCCCACTCTGCGTGCTCTCTCTCTAAAGTAAATTAAAAAAAAAAAAACAAAACCAACTTGGTGCGCCTGAGTGGCTTCGTCTGTTGAGGATGGACTCTTGATTTCGTTCAGGCTATGATCTCAGTGTCGTAGGATCCAGCTCTGAGCTTAGCACGTTCCTCTCCCTCTGCTGCCCCCACCCCACCCCACTCACCCACTCTCTCTCCCTCTAAAATAAATAAATAAGTCTTGAAAAATAAAAAAATAGTTTTTTAAAGGTTTTTTGTTTTTTTAAAGATTTTATTTATTTATTTGGCAGAGAGAGACAAAACGTGAGAGGGAACCTAAGCAGCGGGAGTAGGAGAGGGAGAATCAGGTTTCCTGCTGAGCAGGGAGCCTGGTGTGGGGCTCCATCCCAGGACTCTGGGATCATGACCTGAACCGAAAGCAGACGCTTAATGACTGAGCCACCCAGGCGCCCCAAGAAAAAATTTTTTAAAAAATTAAAAAAGCAGGGTGCCTGGGTGGCTCAGTGGGTTAAGCGTCTGCCTTCAGCTCAGGTCATGATCTCAGAATCCTGGGATCAAGCCCTGCATCGGGCTCTCTGCTCAGCGAGGAACCTGCTCCCCCCCTCCCCCGCCTGCCTATCTGCCTACTTGTGATCTCTCTCTGTTAAATAAATAAATAAAATATTTTTTAAAAAATTTTAAAAAATCACAAATTCATGGAGCGCCTGGGTGGCTCAGTTGGTTAAGCATCTGCCTTCGGCTCAGGTCATGATTCTGGAGTCCCAGGATCAAGTCCAGCATTGGGCTCCCTGCTCAGCGGGGAGTCTGCTTCTCCCTCTGACCTCTCCCTTCTCATCCTCTTTCTCTCTCTCTCTCATTCTCTCTCTTTCAAATAAATAAACATATAAATAAATAAAATCTTTGAGACTGAAGCACTCCCTACTGTGCTAACAAGGCACCTAAATAAATAAAATCTTAAAAAAAAAAAAAGAGGCACAAATTCCTGTCATTCTAAACATATGAGAAAAAGAAACAAACAGATAAAAAACCACTCATCCAGAAAAGGAATAAAGAAAAATTTATTTTAAAATGTTTAATTTGCAATATACACAATACTGGGATTGAGGTGCTTTGTGGTGGGAATGCCACCTCATTCAATATATGGTAGGAGGGTCATGTTCATGGTGAGATTCTTAAATCATTCTTGGAAATTCTGTGCCTGTTGAGATTTCTCTACAGTGGGTATAATATCCACTTAATAAATCTATTTATATATGAGGATATTTACTTTTAGAGGCTATAGAGCAGAGATTACACGCTTTGGGTCTTTTCCTAGCACTTCTCTTTAATCAGTTGTGCAAATCCTATTAAACTAAATTGTTTCTTAATAGCAAATTCTGATGCTCATTTACATAGTTTTCTTTCAAGAGGAAAAGAATTCAACCCTATCAAGCAGAGACGAATTCTGAGTGTGTAACTTGCCTCAAAGTCTCTTACTTCCATTGATTTTTGTGGGCTTCTTTGGAAGGTTATTAAGTTATTCAAATAGAAGCATCTACAGTGTGTAATCAGTAACCTATAATGGGATTTTTTTTCTGTTATGTTGTGGACTACTGTCTTAACATGAAATTTCTCCTCTTATAAGCAGACATGGTGGTTATGAATTAGACTGCATCTAGGCTTCAAGAAATACGAATAATACGCTTAAATCTTGAGAATCACAGAACGAAAAGATACCTTAGAATCAACATAAATCTAACCTTGTTGTGTTAAAGATGGGAAATTAAACCTAGTTTACTGGTTTACCAGGTTACTGCTAGAGCCAACATAAAAATGTAGGTTGTGTGAATATTGTGTTTTACTCTTTCTTATAAACCATTTGGCAAACTTGGCCTGCCTATTAAAATTTAAGTCTGAATGCTCTTCTTAAGCACCAAATCAGGCTATTCTGGAGTCCATTTGCATGGTAATTTCTACAGATTTTGTTTAGTGATAATGATGAAAGAAGTAGCGACAAAACAGGAAAACCCTGACCAAACTCAGACATGATTTCACATTAAATTGTCTAATTTGAGACAGTGGGCTAACCCCCATATGACCAAAAACAAGTAAATGGGACTTTGTATCCCTACCTGCCAGTTGGACAACTACATGAAAAAGTAAACAGGGAACCATGAGTCCCAGTTCCATACATAGCTTACTCCTTTCTCTTTATCCTTGGCCTCTGAACGCAGCAGACCTCATCTTGGGTCTTTATGTGTTGCTAGTAGGATTGTGTAGCTCTGTATTCTGGAGAATTCTCTAGGACTACAAAAATTACCATGACTCTTCTGAAAAATCTGAGCAGGCAAATCCAACAAAATAGTTAAAATAAGAGTAAAAAATACTATATAAATGAATGACATGTTCATCTAGGAAGCTCTTGAAAAATGTAAAAAAAAAAAAAAAAAAAGAGTTCTATGGCCAGCCAAAATGGACAGCAATAGCTTCTTCCTCCCTAATATCTAGTTCAGACAGATTCAACGGTCAATATTAACCTAATGTTTATTTTCCTTTGAAATTGTGTATAGGATGTTTGTATATAAGCCACATGGTTATCATTAATCTACGTCTATGATATTGAGAAACAGCAAAATTATGCAATAATACAGACTTTGTTATCAGTCAGGGAATGGAGGCAAAAGCTAGGCACTGCAAAGGGATTGGTTTAAGAAATACTAATGTCTATGGGTTAGCGGACAATGGTTGGACAAGAAAGAGTTCCCTCTTGTTAGGGCATTCTCTTCCTCCCACCCACACATTATTCTTTCCTCTTCCTTGGTGATCACAGACCGCTGGGTCTCTGCAAATTCACATTTTCACAGGGTGGAAGTCGGAAGTAGTGGGAGCGACGGAGTCGTCTTGGGGGTAAACCAGCCATCTGACGGCAAAGTTCATCTAGAAGAGAAGCAGAGCATAATGGGTTGGGAATGCAGAAAAGGTAACAAGGGCTTCCATGTTAAGAGATAGAGGACTGTAGGGTGCTGTAGTGAAAGACTGAAGAGAACTAGATCTGGGCTACAACCCCAGATGTGCAGCTTACAGTTATTTATTACTTACTAGAAAGTTCCTTAACTTTGCTGAACCACACTATCCCTTCCAGGATAATAAGCATGAAATACCAGCCTCCACAGTGTAGTTGTGAGTATTAAAATGAAATAATATGTGCAAAGTACCTAGCCCAGGTGGCAGGTAAATTTTAGGTTCCTCTGGATGCCTAGCTCCCAGTTCTTATAATCATGGATTTATTAATAGCAAAAACCATGAGATTCAATCATTGACTATCTATCTGTTTACTACGTGCAAATAGCTAATTTTAGTAAGTCCCCTGAGACATTTGAAAGTGCCTAGAGTCCAAAGTACTCATCCTCAGTCTCAAGGTGCTTCCCTTGCAGGTGCTTGCACAAGGCCAATGGGGGCAAGTGGCAAGTTCCCTTCTGCGAAGTTAACTACAGCTCTTACTCAGAAGCTCAGTGCAGGATGGGCTGCTGAGTCAGAAGGGGCTGTGTCTGTGGTGCCTTCACCAACCACACTTATCGTTCAGGGCTGGCCATAGGGAAGGTGAGAAGTATCTTTATTCTCACAATGCAAGGTTTATAACCACACACTTTGGACCCTTGTAATCTTGTTTTTCTTTTTTAAAGTTGTTTTACCCTCATTTACTTCTAAATTTTCACAATAAGTAATTTCAATGGTTCTTGGAATTGGCAGACTGTTTAAAATGTTGCCAACTTCTAAATGTCCAATCTGTTTTTTTTTTATTATTATTTACTTATAGGCTCTATACAAACATCAGTGTCTCCAAATTAGTAGATTTTTTTTTTTTTTTTTTTTACGAAGTTGTTCCTTTATGAACATGGCTGCCAACTGTTAGTCTATTATTTGTAATGGCTGACTTGGCTTTTTTTTTTTTTTTAAGTTATCTCTATACCTAATGAGTGGCTCAAACTCGTGACCCCAAGATCAAGAGTTGCATGCTCTCCAGACTGAGCCAGCCAGCTGGCCCTGACTTGTGCTTTTCACCTAGAACCCCAGTGAGCTTCAAAGCAGCTAGAGCTTCAGAAAGCTCTATGTATAGGAGAAGGTGGGGGTTACAGCCTAGCTGGAAAGAGACCCAAGCACCGTTTTCTTATATATTAAGCATACTTCTTTACTTAGATTGCTTATTTAGCATAACTTGGCAAACCAGGGGTTATTGGGGGTTAAGGAGGTGGCCTAAAGCCCTCCTCAGAAGCCAGACCTTGGAACCATTAGGACCATGTTTCTACTCCTCTCTCTTATAACTGCCCCTCCCACTGACACCCAGCCATCATCTTACCTTTCATAACTTCGTGTTCTTTACAGACAAGACGAGAGCAGATCTCATTGTTGATGATGTACATACGTCGTAAACTGCCAGAGTCCCAGTAAAATGGTTAGGAAAGTAGATAGAAAAGAGCATAGGGAGGGAGAACTAGCCTAGGCCAAGGTTGCCTGCTCAACTGCTGTATTCCCCACTCTCCCTAACTGTTCTCCTCCACTCTGGATTTCCTTAATTTTTCTGGACTGCTTTTTCTTCCCTCCCAGAGGAGTGCAGGGGATGGAATGGTATTAATTATTCTTCCTAGTGATACTTTGCACACTCCCACCTAGAGTTAAGTTGAATACTCCTCCCCGCTATTGGATCTTTCGCTTCAGCCTTTTTCTGTGAGGTACTAGATTTCACTGTACCAGTACTTCTCTCATGACTATCTTTTCCCCAGCTCTCATCTCACTAGCCTTCTAGCATCTAGTCTTACTGGTCAGTCTGTTCTCCATATACCTCAGTTCAGAGTCCGGGTTCTATCTGGCACCAGTGGGAATAGCTAAGGATCATGTTAAAAACTCCTGTGCCACCAAAAACTGAAATCCCAGAGTGGGTGTTCATTAAGCAGTTACGGACATGAAACCACTACCATGGATGATGCTTTCTACCTGTCCTGGGACCCCTTACCTTGTGAAACATAACTGATGAATGCATTGCTTGACTGGCCGATGCACAGAGTAGAGTCTCGTGCAAGCAAATTTTTCATCCCGGCAGTCTGAAGAAGTCCAGCAGAGAAAACAGGGATCCACAAAGGATTCAAGAGACGGAAGAAGGTAGACAGAATGGGGGGAAAAATACAAAGTGATCTCTACACAGGATTATTACAAGTTGGGGGAATGCCCTCCCTGTTGACCAAAAGAGAATGGTAGAAAATTGGCTGAAATAAAATTTAGGTGCTTTCCTACCTAGAAGCAAAAGTAGATAAAATAATCTCAGGTTTCTTCTAGGAAAGTCTTTCTAGGGTTATCCAGGTGGCCATATGAAATATAAATTGAGAAGCTTTTAACCCCATTCTAAAGAATCAGAATTCTTAGGTGGGCCACAGTTTCTGTTTTAGTAGTTTCCAATCCTAGATGCACATCAGAATCATCAGTACAATAGAGAGAGCAACTTTGGCCACGACAACCAGAGTAATACTGAGTCCTTGCTGTCACTTCCTAACTCATTAACCACCACAGAAAGTCCAAAGGCAGCTTAGGAATAGGAATCTTTCAGGACCATCCAACAGTGGTCCCATCTTTTCCCCATGAGCTTGAGGATAAGACCTCATTAAAAAAAAAAAAAAAGGTAGGAATGAAGGGCACTAAAAATACTCCTTGAGAAAGAACTGGAAGCAAGCTAGAAGGTATATCAAGTATCCTCCAAAGAGCAAGAAGGTATGAATCCCTGAGAAGAAAGCTGAAGAAAAAGACGTGCAAAAGATATTCATACCTGTTGTGGTATTTTTATCAGCAGGAGAAGCTGGAAGGCAGAAATTTTACTCAGTTATTACCAGTTCTAGAAGTCACTACTTCTGCAACTGTCATGTTACCTCACTTATAAATAAAAAGCCAAAGGAGTTGATAATGCTTTTAGCAACTTCTAACAAAACCCACAGTGGGCTATTCTGTTCCACAAAACTGGAGAGATTTAGAAGTTAGGATGGGAAATCTGATTTTGCCTTTCTCCTCTTCTAGAATTGAAAATGTATCTTTGTTTTGTTGATCAAAATCACATTTAGTGGAGATATCAGGCAAGGATCCCTATGCCCAGAAGAGCTTCATCCTACAGCTAAGGAGAGAAAAGATTGTTACCCTGTAGAAGCTCTTACTCCTAAAAGAAAATTTCTTCTCTGTAAATCAAATACATCATCATGGGTTCTCAGATAAAAGTTATTCAGCAAAGAATAGCAAAGGTCACAGCCATAGCCAAACCTAATCTAATGTCAAGTTAAATACAGGCCTAACTTGTAGAATGAATAATAGGAGTAAGATGAGTCTTGGGAAGACACTAACCATGGGATTTATGTGTCAAAATGCCATTGGAAGAGTTGCTGGTAGATAGAATACTATGGGAAGAATGCTACATGATCTCATCTATGCCCTGGTTTCAATGGCAGACTTACATGCTGAGAATTCTCAGACTTCTACTTCCAGCCCAGATCTCTTCCAAGCTCCCAACCTATAAAGCCACCTGCCATTTTATGGAAGAGTTTGTCGATTTTTCAAAGATCCTTCAAATCTAACATGTCTTAAACTGTCCTACTTCCCCTTCACCAATTCAACATGCTCTTCAGTGAATGGTCCCACCATCTACCCAACAGGACACTGGACATCATCTCAACAGTCCCCTATCATAGCTCACACTTAATTCTCCCTGCCTCCACCTCAGTGAGTTCAGGCCATCATCTTTTATTGGGACTAGTGTAATAGCATCCTGGCTGGATTTCCAATTCACAAATCTGGTGGGAATCTTTCTTTGTCTAAAACTATTCTGATGGGTTTTTAGTTCCATCCTAAGCCTTTCTTGCATCGTGTGTCTTCACCCCAGAGCTCTTCTCTCTAATTACTCAATTCACTTCCAGTTGTCATTCAAGAAGCCACTTAATCAGTGTGTCCTCCACAGAACCCTTTCCTAAGCCCCGGCACGGACTATACTCAAGGACTCTCTTAGTCATCTATTCCTTCTGTTGCTTATCCTGATGATGGCATTTTATGAAATTAAAGTAAGTTACCCATTTGTTTATCTTGTGTAGTAGACAAAAAAAAATACCAAGTAAAAGGAAATCAGTTTTGTTCATCTTTACATTGCTGGTGCTCAGTAGTAGGTTTGCAATAACTATTTCTTCAAAATCTAGTTTCTGTCTCCTTTTCCTACATCCTACCCCTTGTTTCTTGTAGGTTTTGCCCTAATTGTTTAAAAAAAAAAATGTTTCCTCATTGTGCCAAGCTCTATTTTGTGTTCAAATCTTGGAACATACTGTTCCTTCTTTGACTGCCTGGCTGGCTCCAGATCTTCTTTCAAGAATCGGTTCAACCATTACTTCGAGGAAGTTTCCCTTTAGCTTCCCAAACATTGACTGTTTATATATTTGTCTTGCCTTTACCCACCCAGGCTCGGAAACTCTGAGGAAAAGATCGCATATTGGTGTTTTGTACATCAAACAGCGAGCACAATCCCTGCATGTTAGGGGATCAAAAATGTCATTCATCTAAATTGAACTGTTGGAAGAATGTGCTCATTGAACTGTAGTCGCGTCTATTTCGGATCCTTGACCAGCTGTACTGCCTTCCAGAATGGGCTCTGGGGAAAGCCCAGAATGGCCCCAGTGGCCCTGGGATCCCGATCTGAACTCACCCAGGTCATCTGTGGAAGGCTCGATATCAGCCAGAACTGAAAAGGCACAAAACAGCAGGTGTGAGGAGGGCTTTGAACTGGCAAGGGGGAAGGCAGAGGAGCAAAAGGAAGAATGGAGGGGTGCCTGGGCGGCTCAGTCGGTTAAGTGTCTGACTCTTGGTTTCAGCTCAGGTCATGATCTCAGGGTCTTGAGATGAAACCGCAGCTCGAGCTCTGCACTGGGCCTCTAGCCTGCTTCAGATTTTCTCTCTGCCCCTCCCCCATAAAAAAAAAAAAGATTGAGAAAAAGGGAGAATGGAGGTATTGGGGCAAAGTCAAGGCTGTGGCTGGGTTTGTGTGTTATATCCAAGGGATTAGAGTTAATTGAAGTAATTGTGAAATTTTTTGAAAAATATTTGGCCTACTGACATTATAGTTTATTATACATGCCTTATTTTAGGTATTCATCCACTTTGTTTCATCTTTTTAGAGGACTGGGGGACTCCTTCCCATTATCCCACTGTCACTGAAAAAAACACCCCCAATCCCTCTATTCTTTTCTTAGACAAAAATACAGGACTAAGTCAAAAGCTGGAATATATTGTGGATATTAACAAGACTCAAGCCATTTTAAAAGCAGTAGTAAGGCTTACCTGTTTCATCTGTAGAGGGCTCATTCACCAGATCTGCAAAGACACAGCACAGGGAGTAAAAACACACAGGCAGGGCACCTAGGTGGCTCAGTGGGTTAAGCCTCTGCCTTCAGCTTAGGTCATGATCTCAGCGTTCTGGGACTGAGTCCTGTATAGGGCTCTCCGCTCATCAGTGAGCCTGCTTCCCCTCTCTCTCTGCCTGTCTCTCTGCCTACTTGTGATCTCTCTCTCTGTCAAATAAATAAATCTTAAAAAATATATATATTAAAAAACACAGGCAGAAAAAGTGGGAAAGGGAAGCAGAAAAAAGGGTTGATCTAAAAGGAGGCAAGAAAGATTGAAGTGAAAGGATATATGGACTCCTGGGCCATATCCTCACAGCATCAGTGGTATCTAAGACAGACACTTGGGTCTGCATGAGCTCAGAGTGCCCACTGACCTCTTTTCTATGCTTCATTTATCATTGTACAGATACCATCCTCATTCCTTCTGTTCCCAGGATGAAAACAAAGAAAAAGTGTAGCTTACTAGGATCTTCTGTGAATGTCTCTAGAGTCACTGGAGTCACATCATCTGAATAAAGAAAAAAAGCAGGAAACATTTATTTTTAATTAAAGTAATTTTTAAAAGATTTTATTTATTTGAGGGGCACTTGGGTGGCTCAGTGGGTTAAGCCTCTGCCTTCAGCTCAGGTCATAATCTCAGGGTCCTGGGATGAGCCCTGCATCAGGCTCTGTGCTCAGCAGGGAGCCTGCTTCCCCCCTTTTTCTGCCTGCCTCTCTGCCAACTTGTGATCTCTCTCTGCCAAATAAATAAATAAAATCTTTAAAAAAAAGATTTTATTTATATAAGAGATAGAGAAAAAAAAAACAAACAAAACCATGAGCAGTGGGGAGGAGCAGAGGGAGAGGGAGAAGCAGACTTCTCACTGAGCAGGGAGCCTCTACCTAGGATTTGATCCCAGAACCCCAGGACCATGACCTGAGCTGAAGGCACACGCTTAACCAACTGAGCCACCCAGGGCCCCCCAGAAAACACTTTTTGAGCATTCCCTGTCCTCCCATTCTTGCACTTGCAGTAAGTGAAACCTGTCAAGCACAGTTGCCAATGCACAGTGAGTATCCCACAATTGTTTTTCATTGTTTGTTTGGAGTCCTTTCCCGACAAACCAAACAATGTCAGTTTCCCACTTCCATGAATATACACATACAGTCCTAGCCCAGAATATCCTTTTCCCTTTGTCTCCTTTACCTACATGCCCATCAGATAATCCTCCACAGGCATCCCCTAAGTTTAGGAATAGAAGAATAACATATTTCATTGTCCTATCAGATAATAATGTAATAGCTAATTTGGGTTTACTAGGTGCCAGGCACTATTTAAAAAATCTGTTTTTACAGATGATAAAATTTGAGCACCCAACAAGTAAATAATTTACCCAAGGTTATACAGCTTGTTGCAAGTACAACGGATTGATGATCTCTTTGCAATACTTATTTTAAGTGCAAATTGTCTTTACCAAAGACACTGATCTGATAATTACAGGTTTGAAATAATTGGATATCAGTTTGCTGATATGCTTACATACAAGTATGCTCACCAAAGGTGATGTGGATGATTTTCTTTTATTTATTTATTTATTTATTTATTTATTTGACAGACAGAGATCACAAGTAGGCAGAGAGGCAGGCAGAGAGAGAGGAGGAAGCAGGCTTCCCGCTGTGCAGAGAGCCAGATCCGGGCACCTGGGGTCATGACCTGAGCCAAAGGCAGAGGCTTTAACCCACTGAGCCACCCAGGCGCTCCGTGGATGATTTTCTGATGTTCAAAGAGAAGTGAGGTGAGAGAAGAGAGAGTGTGTTTGTAGAAAATACCTTGCAGTTGATCATTGGAAAGTAAAGGCAGTAGGAAAAATAAAAAATAAATGGTCCAGGTCTTAAGGTGGAATCTATTAGGATATGCTAAGAAAACTGTATATGAAACTATAAATAACAGCACTACCTAAAACAAATTCTCTCAACTTTATTATTTTTTTAAAAGATTTTATTAATTTATTTGGCAGGGAAAGAGAGCACAAGTAGGCAGAGAGGCAGGCAGTTGGGGGCGGGGGTTGGGGGGGGAGCAGGCTCCCTGCTGAGCAAAGAGCCCCACGACACAGGGCTCCATCCCAGGACCCTGAGGTCATGACCTGAGCCGAAGGCAGAGGCCCAACCCCCTGAGCCACCCAGGCGCCCCAAATCGTCTCAACTTTAAAAAGCAAAATAACAACGCAATGTTAACACCTAATTATTTTAAATATCCCATCTATAATTACTCTTTCTCGTAGATGACTTATCGTCATAATCTAGTTTGCCCACTAGGGGTCAGCAAATTCAGTTTGCTTTGACTTTTTCCTTAAAACTTCAGCGTCTAAATGCTACGTTTCGTCTGGAGAAAATAGCGTTTTTATAAAGCATGCCAGAGCTATTGATCACTGTGGCAGAGGCAAAACGCAAATAATGCATTCTGAAGCAATTTCCCCGGCTGCTTACATCATCCTCTTTTTTAAAAAAAATTCAAGGTAGAAAGTCATCAGATCTGACAAAAGAGCCCTTTTATAGTTAACACTCAGCATTAGCTTTCGTATTTCAGATGAAATTTTGGTAAAAGAAATCGAAGTCTGTTCCAATCCCCCAGGACGTTTGAAAAACCACTAGCCCGAGTCCTTCCAAAAACCGTTAAGAGGGGAGCCTTTCCAGGGTGTAGCCGAATGCCGCCAGTTCCCTTTCTATCTGCATTCCAGTCCAGCCACTCAAAGATATGCAAGTGAACCGGTGGGTGAGCAGAGGGGTTAAGAATGAGTCCTTGCCATCACTTCAGAATTTCTGGATGGAGTACTGGTTTTTGGTGTATTCCTCAGATTATCCACATTTCCCGTGAGCTACCACCGCATAAATGCTTATCTAGGATTCATGTTCTCTGAAAAGAAATCCCAAGTAGGCAATTTTGAAAAAGATTTTATTTATTTATTTGACAGAGAGAGACACGGTGAGAGCAGAAACACAAGCAGGGGGAGTGGGAGAAGGAGAAGCCGGCTTCCTGCCCAGCAGAGAGCCTGATGTGGATTTTGATCCCAGGACTCTGGGATCATGACCTGAGCTGAAGGCAGACCCTTAACAACTGAGCCACCCAGGCACCCCTTAAGTAGGCAATGTTTTAAAAGATTTTATTTATTAGGGACAGAGAGCATGGCTCAAGCGGCGGGGGCGGGCGTGGGAGGGGGTAGCAGCAGGCAGAGGGAGAAGGAAGCTCCCCTGTGGAGCAGAGAGTCCCGTGCAGGCTCTATCCCAGGACCCCGGGATCATGACCTGAGCCAAAGGCAGATACTTAACTGACTGAGCCACCCAGGAGCCCCTTAAATAAGTATTTTATTTTATTTATTTTTAAATGCTTTATTTATTTGATGGGGAGAGAGAGAGCACAAGCAGGGGGAGCAGCAGCAGAAGGAGAGGGAGAAGCAGACTCCCCACTGAACAGAGAGCCCACATGGGGCTCAACCCCAGGACCCTGGGCTCATGACCCTAGCCAAAGGCAGATGCTTAACCGATTGAGCCACTCAGGGGCCCCTTAAGTAAGCATTTTTTTTTTAAAGATTTTATTTTATTTATTTGACAGAGATCACAAGTAGGCAGAGAGGTAGGCAGAGAGAGAGAGGAAGAAGCAGGCTCCCTGCTGAGCAGAGAGCCTGATGCGGGGCTCCATCCCAGGACCCCGGGATCATGACCCAAGTGGAAGGCAGAGGCTTTAACCTACTGAGCCACCCAGGTGCCCCTTAAGTAAGCATTTTAATCATATCATATTTCTTCTAGAAAAGCCATCCCAAACTTGTAGACCAGGACTAGACTTTAACCAGCCCAGAGAATGAATGCAAAAATTTTTTGCTAATGCTGAACTCTGTAGGCTCAGAAAATTTGGGATTCAGAATTCTTTACCTGCAGCAGATTAAAAAAAAAAAAAGTTGTGTTTCTTTATTTTTATCTTCTGTACCAGGATGTACAGGAAGAAATTATATTGTGCCCCAATGCACACATGGAAAATTGAAACGAGTTTAAAAAGATAATGCCTTACTCTCGAAATGTTGTTGCAATGTACCCCACTTTTATTTTATTTAATTAATTTATTTATTTTTAAAGATTTTATTTATTTATTTGACAGAGCTCACAAGTAAGCAGAGAGGCAGGCAGAGAGAGAGGGGGAAGCAGGCTCCCTGCTGAGCAGAGAGCCTGATGTGGGACTTGATCCCAGGACCCCAAGATCATGACCTGAGCCAAAGGCAGAGGCTTAACCACTGAGCCACCCAGGTGCCCCTGTACCCCACTTTTATTTTAGTCTGTACTAATTCATTAAAAATTACCCATTGTGATCTGCTAATTTGATTTTATGGTCCATTAATGGGTTTAATACTGCTGTGCTCTCAGGGGTTGGGAAAAGTAAGAGATAAATTGTAATAATGTTGAATGTCTGGAGGCAGAGTGGAGATGTTTGATTGGAGTTTCCGTTATCAAGCTGGAGGAAGTGGCCACTTGGAAACCAAAACTTTTGGTTTCTGTCCATTAGTGCCAGAATTTCGCTGTAGTACTGAGATGACTTTTTATTCTGTCTGCATGTTAGCTTCTCCGTTGCTACATGGATAGGAAAAAGCTGTTAAGATTAGTAGGGTTTTCTCAGTGAGATAAGAGATGCATATAGGAGAGTAGAAACAAGAGATGGGTATAGAGGAGGATTTAGGCAAGGTATTTCAGTTGTTAAAAAGTAAGAAGATTTGTGGCTCCTGGGTGGCTCAGTTGTTAAGCATCTGCCTTCAGCTCAGGTCATGATCCCAAATCCTGGGATCGAGTCCTATATCAGGCTTTCTGCTGGGTGGGAAGCCTGCTTCTCCCTCTCCCACTCCCCTTGCTTGTGTTTCCTCTCTTGCTGTGTCTCTTTCTGTCAAATAAATAAATAAAATCTTAAAAAAAATAAAGGTAAGAAACTTTTATAAACAGGATAACAGGGTTATGGAAACTGGTGAGTTGAATCCGATTTTCCATACTTTGGCAATGTGTCTCTCTGTTATATTATAGATTCTTTAACTCTGACCATTCATTTGCATTATTCTTATATCCCCAGCTGATAGGGCACATGGCTGACTCAGCTGGAAGAGTATATTACTCTTGAATCACGGAGTTTTGAGTTCAAACCCACACTGGGGGTAGAGATTCCTTAAATATATACTAAAAACACAGAAGAGTCCAGATCCAAAGGCTCACCTACCTCCTCGTTGACCACTGACTCCTAGTGGTGTCCAATCTGTACCAAAGGACAGAGAAGAGGGATAAATGACTCCAGCTCTACACCTCATAAAGCTTTTATAGAATGAATCAGAAAATGATGGGAAATGGTTGTACTTTATTTTTCTGCATTGTATTTCTGTATAGTTCAGTACAAAATTACTCAGACCATTAGTGCTGACATGGAAACCCTCAAGAAAAATATGTTCCTGAGAATAAAGCCCTGCTCTGCCAAGCCCTGACGTGGGATGCCCTCTTGCCCTCATTCCCTAGGAGGAGTCAGGTCCGGTTCGGCAGTCGGGGCTAACAGCCTTTCTAAAGTGTCCTGTCCTAACCCCATAGCCATAGTACGAACTACACTATGAACAAGGCACAAAGTGATTTTCTGACAGTGTGGACCTGGCAGCATGAGGAAATAGAGCAGGATTTCTTCGAGGTGCCAAGATTCACTTTCCATGGCCAATCTTTCAGCTCTGTTCTGTGACATCTGTGATGGCTTTTCTTTAGAGCATAGCTTGGCACGTTTGTGTGCATGTGAATACGTGTGTGTGTGCCGGAGCTAGTGTGGGTAGGTGTGAGCGTATATATTCCCACTGTGCCCCTTCACGCACTGAATTTGGTCTAGTTTCTTATTAGCTCTTTCTTTTTAGCTGTCTCTGTATGTTTGCAGACACATTGGCGTGTCAGCTTCTCTTTCCTCTGTTGACCGGTACGTCGATGTGTGTGTGACCCTCTTTTTGGGTTAATAAGCATTTGTGTGGATCTTATACTCATAACTCTCCAGATACTTCCCAAGTCTGAGATCATCTCTGGTCTCATCCCAGCCCCTGCTTTTCAGACACAAATCTGTCCTTTTCTTCAATATTAGTTCTAGAACTCGGGAGCAAGAATGACTGCTGCCAGTCCCCGTCACCATCCCACCCCATAACCTACAGCTCCACATTCCCCCCAGGAGCTGGCATTGTAGGGAGAAAAGATTGAAGGGAGGGACTCACCAGAGGGGATGATGAGGGCAGTGAGGAGCAGCAGCACCTTGGGTCCCAAGAGCAGCATATCTGACAAGGGTGTTGGGAGAGGAGAAGCTGTGATGTTCCGGACACATCAGCATCTGAGGCCCAGGCAGGGCTGCCTGGAGGGCCCCTGTCTCTTTGTCTGCCCAGGGCTTTCCCTGGTCCCCTGTGCGACTCCAGCCTTTTCTCTTTTCTTTCACCCAACATTTCTCCCTCGAATTCTCTCTTTGATCACTTACCATTACTCTCATTCTCACGCCTTTTTTCTGCCAAGTCAGAGGAAACTATGTATTCTCGATGGTGCATGGTTGCCCCCAGTCTGTGGCCACTTTCACCCCCAGTGTCTAATTTTTTGATATCTGTGGCTTTTAAATATCATCCACTTATCTTGGTGTCTTGTCTTGAATTCCAAGGACAAATGGGGTATTCACTCAATCTAAGTCAGTGACATTCCCCACCGTCCCCATCCAGCCTTTCAGTTTCAACACACACACACACACACACACACACACACACACCCCGCACACCCTCTGTCTGTCTAGGGTTTTGTACAATCAAACAACTCACTGTGTATTTTTCCTCTGCTCTGTCCACCGAGTCCTTTGGCTGCCGAATGGGCCTCTCTCCTTCTCACGCTGTTTCTGCTTTGGCTGGAGAATAAGACGAACAGGGCCACTCCCTGGGAAGGACTTCAAATTTGGCCTACTCTGAAACAATGAGATGAGGGAGAGCAAGGGAGAGAGAGAGAGAAAGCCAGGCTAGAGGAGTGTGATGAGGCGGGAATGAGAAGGGGGCTGGGGCTTTGCAGTCACTCACACCCTCATTCCAAAGGTTATGACCACACCAGTGAGTGATGCTGCTGTTCCCTAGGAGGCCGGGCTTCCGCTGGCAAAAGCTTTTCTTCCATGAGCTTCTTTTCCCTCTTGCAACCCGGCCCCAGTCCCTAGTCCCCAGCCCCTTCCTGCCTTGGGTTCCTTTTCATCATTGGACAGTCTGCCTTTCTCTGTCCATCCTCCATGTTTGAAACATTTCTCCATCCTCCTGTCTCGCTGTCTTCTTCAGCATTCATCTCTTCACCACCAACAAATTCCTTTATATCCCTGTATTTCTCTCTCTCTCTTTTTTCTCTTTCTTGACCCACACACATTCAAGAATGTAGTTCTCCCACCCCTGGGAATCCTATTTATTCCATATTCAAACACACACAGACACCACATGAGTTTTGTCCAAGAGGAGGGTTGGCTGTTAGGAAAAGTTGAAAAATATAGTACCATCTGAATCCTTTTGAAGTGGGGAGGAGCTCTCTGTAAGAAGACATGTTAGTCTTTTTCTGTCTTTTGGCTTTGTTTAGGTTTATGCTCAGAATCCTGGTTTCTGGAATCTTCAGGAGAAAATGCCATTAGAAGCCCAAACTGGGAGCTAAGCTCACTTTTCTGGCCTTATTTTCCAACAGTTCTTTCCCCCACATCATGTCATAAGTAGATGACACTTTCTGTGATCCAGGAGTTTTAAAGACTTTGTATTTGTTCTTATTCATTGAGACCGAGGGGCTAGGCTGGTAAAAATGTCTCCACTTTGGAGGGAATAAATTTGAATTACAGAAATGCAAATCTGAAGGATCGTTGAGCTGCTGTGCATTTACTAGGGTGTAAGTTTCATTCCGTGTGAGCTCCTTGAGTCTACATTGTCTGTCTCCCTGAGGAGCTACATTAGAGTCGAATATAGGTAGACAGAGCAGATCATGTTCGTAGAGTACAGACTAGAAAAGGAAAAAAAGTAAGAAAGAGAAGGAAGGGAGGAAAAGAGAGGAAGGAAGGAAGCTAGTTAGTTGGGAGGAGGGGAGAGCAATGGACATAATCAGAAATAAGGAAATAGCACCTTTGGTTCCTCCAAAGGACAGATACGTGCCCATCTCTGAGATATATGGGTTCTGGTCAGTCTCTAGAACAGAGCTGAGTACCAGACTGAGCTCTTCCTCATCTGCCTGGCTGAGAACTTGCTCTTCGCCCATCTGCTCTGCAATGAGAGTGCAGATCCTGGAAAAACAGATGTGATTCTAGTCTGATGAGAGGGAGAGAAAAGGCAGGGAGGTGGGGGTGGGGAAAGAAACAAAAAAAGCCAGATGTGAAGCAGAGCTAAGTCTGGACATATAATAGCGAGCTTAGAGCAACAATCATGTTTTCCATGAAGCTCAGACAGATGGACAAACTGAACTCAGGCCAATCATTTGGCAGGGACAGCAATGACCTCAACATGCTGGCCCAGCTTGACACCATAGCATAGGAAAGCCTTCCCAGGCAGTAGGAGGGGCGCTCTCCTGGGGTCATAGGAGGGAGTCTGGAGTTGGGGCAGTGAAAATGGAACAGAATGTTCATAGTATAAGGCACAGGGAGAGGGCAGGCAGGCAGCAGCGGCTTAGAAGGAAAGTAGAGGAAATCCAGCAAGCACGGGGGGGAAAGTAGAGACCATCATCATCTGTTCATGCTGGGCTTACGGGCATTCAAGAACGCAGTTCTTTTTAAAGTAGTCTGATGAATTTTTTTTCTTCCTTGAGGCTGTGGTGGCCCCTTTTCTCTAACATTGTTCCCATTTTGCTTTCAGAGCCTAGGCTTAGAACCTCGGGTTTGGAGAACTTCAGAGTTCTTTTCTCACGGTGATTTGGTGAGCCTCTGTTCTATTCCAATATCAGTTTATCATTGAAGTACACGGCATCGCGATCGGCACCAATAGTCAAAAATGAGCACCGGCCATCCAGAGCCCCGAGGCTATAATTTTCTGAGGTTCTCACTAACACTGGGGAAGGACTCCTGGGGCAGAAGCCTGTGCCACTATCCAACACAGGCTGATCTCTGGGGGTGGAGAGCAGGTTCTCCAGCAGCAGGAAAGTGCTCCAAGATACTGACCAGCAGGTGCAGAAGCCACTCCATGCTGGCAAGGAAACGTTTGGGTTACCTAGGAAAATTGTAGTTTTCCAAAAGGGTGTCCAGTTCATGGAAAATGGGTAAAGTGCAAGGAAACAGAAGGGAGGCAGACATGCAAGACAGCACAGCACGCTGACTCTCTTCTTCTGTTTATTCGTCTGTAAAGAATGCACACATTAACTGAAGGCCTCTGAGCAAATGTACAGAAACGTTATTACTACAGTCCGCTCTAGCTAAATTAAATCCAGGACCTAATGCAGGGGGAAAAAAAATTCCCATAAAAGGAAGGCAAGAAGGGAGGAGGATTATACGAGGTGGGAAAGGAGAAAAGGCAGAGAGCTGTGTGTGTAGAGGAATGAAGCAATAAACTAGTAACAGCCAAACTTGAAACGATGGACTCAGTGTAGGAGTCAGACGCTAGCAAACATATGTCGTCAGACAACTTCCCACTTCTTAGGAGCCCAGACTAACTGTAACTCACTTCGTGCCTCTGTGCTTTGGACTTTGTGTTCCTTCCTTTCTGACACAGGTCTTCGCAGTTCCAGTAAATAAATGCTCATAGGTACATCAAAACCCAGGTTAGATGCTCTCTCTTCCCACAAATCTTTCCTGGTCTCCTCTGCTTCTCAAGAGTTTTTGTTTTGTTTTGTTTTGATTTTGATTTTTTGTTTGTTTTTTTAAGGATGTTACTTACTTGAGAGAGAGAGAGAGGGAGAACATGAGTGGCGGCGGGGGCGGGGGGGCGGGGGAAGCTGCAGAAGGAGAAGAAGAAGCAGGCTCCCCACTGAGCAGGGATCCCAAAGTGGGACTTGATCCCAGGACCCTGGGATCACAGCCTGAGCCTGTGGCAGACGCTCAACCAATTGAGTCACCCGGGTGCCCCGTTTTCATTTTAAAGTATGCTCTGCACCCAGCATGGGCTTGAACTCACCTCCCTGAGAGTCACATGCTCTACTGACTGAGCCAGCCAGGTGCCCCTGCCTCCAAAGAGCTTATCATTCTCTCTACTGAGCTACCTCTTTGTTTTTATAATCATGTCATCAACGCTGTTGTATTCTTTCATTTGCATGTTTCTATTCCCGATTAGGCCACGTTCCTTGATTGCAGAGGTGAGGTCTTACTCATCTCTGGCCGATATTATGATTAGCACTGAAAAGTCAAAATTTGGCCATTTGAATTGAGTTGAGATGATGACTTAAAATTGTAACTTGCGATTTCCACGTAGAAACTTCCAAAAACTGGGGTGCCTGAGGGGCTCTGCAGTTAGGCATCTGTCTTCGGCTCAGGTCATGATCCCAGCGTCCTGGGATCGAGGCCCTCATCGGGCTCCCTGCTCCCCTGGGATTCTGCTTCTCCCTTTCCTTCTGCCCCGACCCCTGTTCATGCTCTCCCTTTCTCTCTCTCAAATAAACCTTTAAAAAAATTTTCAAAAACTGAGTCAAGTGTAAAGAAGTAGAGGATAGAATTCTAGAAAAGAAAGTAGTTTGAGTATACAGAAGGAGTATAGCAAGTGAAACAAATAGTCCATGTAGTGAAGTGATCTGAGGGGAATTAGAGCAAAAGGAAATAGCCCCAGAAATTGGGCAACAGTTAGTCTAGAAACAAAGGAATCTTGGCAGGAAGGCTGTAAAGTCAGTGCATGTGATACATGTGATTTATACCTACAGTGATTAGTACTTGGGTCCCATCACTTTGGTTTGGGTGAGTCTGCTGGCCCTGGTGGTCTTGCATCATACCCCTGCACTCTCTTGACGACACAAATGTAAAATGATGAAAGATGCTTGATCCAGGTTCAGAATTCTGTTAAGTTTCCTGAAACCCACAACAAAATTTAAATAACTGTGACACTGGCTATAAACAAGCAAAATAGGACAAATACTAGATATTCACCGTGGGCAGGAAATCTCCATCTCCCTGTTCTACCCGTCAGAAAACAAGCAAAACAGAAAGTAAGTACTTTGCAGATATAGGGGAAGTGTATAAAATACAGTGTATTTTATACAGTGTATAAAATTACAATAGCTAATAAGTTTGATAGATTTATATGATACATATTTATGTTTTTAGAGATTATATGTGCTAGGCAGCCTGCAGGATCTACCCCCCACCCATGCCCCTGCCCTGGGATCCCCACCTCCTATGCTTTATGCCCTTGAGTTTGGGCTGAATTTTGGGACCACTAACAAATGCAATGCTGCAAAGGCATGGCATGTACCTTCCCAGATGCTATTACAAAGACTGGCTTCTAGCATTAGTGCTCTCTTTTGATCTCTTGGTTGCTGTTGCTCTGAACAAAGCCAGCTGCTAAGCTGTGAGCTACTCTAGAGTAATGCTCATGCAAGAGGAGGCATGTGTCTTAGCCGACAACAGTCATCCACCTCAGGACCACAGAAAGCCATGTGAATGAACTTGGAAGTAGATCTTCCCTCAGCTGGGCCTTGAAGACTGCAGCTCCAGCCAACATATTGGCGATAGCCTTGTGAGACCCTGAGCCAGAGGTACATGGCGAAGCTATACTTGCATTCCTAATCAACATAAACTTGGGGAAAATAAATTTTTGCTGCTTTAAGCTGCTAAATAGATAAGGAATATGTCCTATCCTATAATCATAACCATTTCATTTATTATATAAATAAATAACATATTTCTAACTGTATATAATGTATAATAATGTCTTATAATATTGATACACTTATATGAAAGACAAAATTAGCTATTATTATGTGTTAGCTATTAATATATACTAGTTAATAGTAATGACTAATGTTTATGGAACATTACATAATGTCAATGGAACATTGACCATATGGAAGACACCATGTTAAAAATATGAT